GCGTCGCTCGTGCAAGCGTACGACTGTGTAGCGCGACTGATTTGATTAGATCGTGCTCCTGTGCTAAAATCGACTGAACCGATGCTCATTTACATCCGTATTCACCAACTCCTTCGTACTCCTCTTTTTAGCTTCTAGCTCCCACCGTTGACCTGAAAAAAAACTCGACTAGAAATAAAGGAAGCCCGCGCACTCAACACGGCCATCTAATAAATTTGAATGTATTAAGTTACAAAGAAAGTATAACACCCCCAAAACATCAGAAACGGATTGAGGAAAATACTGACAGGAAGATGAAAAAAGACTGAAAGGGAGCTAGAAGCTAAAAAGAGGAGAAAGAAGTAAGAAGTCAGTGTAAACGGATGTAAATTAGCATCGGCCCAGTTGATTTTAGCACTAGAGCGCGATCTAAGCAGTCGCGCTACACAGTCGTGCGTTTGCGCGAGCGACGCAATCGTACGCTGCGACTGAAGCGCCGCCGTCGCGAGGTCTGAAAGCTGCTTAAGGAATCTATTTATACGTATGGGTTTTAAAATTGCTGAAACAATGAGATTGATGGTTGGAGGTTCCTTTAGATCGGAGCCAAGGGGTTTAAAGTGATAAGGGTTGAAATAACTACATGACCACTTGATGACAAATTCTTAAGTGTATTTCAGTTCGAGTACCCTCAACCAATACCTGAATATCCGATGGACAAGGCCGTAATGGATCCCTTAACTGCTGGCACTTCTACCGGTACGTTATTTCTTCGGTATAAAGACCTCCGTTGATTACTGACTTATCGTTGCACTCTCACAGAAGAGTTCTTTTTAATTTCCGAATGAAAAGTTCCTTGAATCTGAGCCTCTACAGTATTTTTAAGACTTTTTTTAGTATTGCAGATTGAGATGATGCCAATAAGCTGACCCTAGAGGGCTTTAGTACTCTAAGACATGACTACATATGACAGGATTTTGAGAATTTGAGGGCCTCAACGGGGTTAGATCCAGGACATAATTTCCAAAATCATCATGTAGTCTCCCTGCTATCGGCCCACGTCGGCCGATTTACGTACATGAACGCCGAAGACCTAAACCACATGAGAATGTCTATATTGCCTCAGGATCTCTCTTTCCAGAATATCAAGCTGAAGACTGGGCTTGTGTACACTTCTACTCCAGAAAGACCGCTTTTCCTACACTTTTCACCCTTTGAGAGCCGATTTCCTGTAGAAGTTGACTCCGAGATAGTGTGAGCTCCTGAAACGTATGGCATGGCGATCGTTTTATTTAGTGAGAGTGCCTTAGCAAGGAATGATTCACCGCATACCGGAGAAGAGTGGAGCATACCGAGCACGAAGCAGGCTTCGCGTGGGAGTGGTGCTCAGGAGTGGTGCACTAAACATAGCAGCAAGCGATATTCGTGTCATTGAGGGGTCAGACTGCTTTAGACGCCACTTGCCAGACTCGGCCGCACGGCAGAAACCAAATTTCTGTAACGGGAAATACTGCTAAAGATTCCTAACCTTCTTTTTCCTCTGCAGCTGCTATGCTGCATTCAAAGTTCCATTTCACTTTCTGCCGCTACAATAAGGAAATGGTCAGAGTTCTTTGAGTCGGATTTCGGCCTCAAGTTGTTCTTCTCTGATTTGTCTTCACTTGTGTTTTTTTTCTAGTTTTCGTCGAATATTTGGTTGGATTTGTTACTAAAAAAATTTCGGGCTTCGACGCACCCAGTGTACAATACATAAATGAAGATAAATGAACAAATAAATTGGCTGTATTTAGTGCCGCCGATTGCCGCTCCAGGGCCACCAGTGATGTACCCTGGCTATCTTCCGGGTTGTCAGCAACTGACACCATGGACACAACAATACGATCATGCCTGGTATGGATATGGCCCACAGGATCCGGTATCGCCAAGCTATTTTTACCAATCCGATATGATGCACTACGATGAATGGCCTCAAATACCATATCCAACCACTAATGACATGCTTTACGCAGCCAATGCAAGCGTTCCCGAGACGCAGTGAATTCGTTAGCGATTAATCGATTATCGATTTATGCGACTTGTGTGATGCTTTTATAAAATTGCATTTTTATCGTGCTGATTTTCCTTCAATGTGTTAATGCTCATAAATGAATTCGCCTAGCTCATTTATACACTCCTTATCCCTGAGCCAGAGTAGGCGTGGCATTTGAACATGGCACGGAACTGGTTACTCGTGGAATATTCCAGTCTGGGACAACTGTCATCTTGTTCTGTGTTGGACAGAGACACGACAACAGTTGTGTGAAGATGGAAATATTCCACTAGAAGCATAGACACCTTCAGGTTAAGTTGAAACATGCGGCCACGCCTACCCGATCTCAGGGATTTCGAGTATACGTTCAGTCAATAAAGGAGGAGCCAGTAGAAGATGAAATTCTTGATATTCGCTTTTTGAACGTGATATTTTATTTGTTCCAAGTCGATCATCCATTGCCTTTTCGAATATGAAGTCAACTTGCAAACACTAGATTACTGTAATTATTCGATTTTGTTTCTAGTGTAATAACATTTTCTATTTCGTATTTTGTAATGTTAAAAATGAATAACTGATAAGCTCCATAATTATTCGAGTCATGCAGGATTCTCAAACTCTGCTTAGAATCATAGAGGCGTTTAAATCATCACTTATGAAAGTTGTTCAGCGAAGAATTTGATCCGCGTTGTGGCGACGCAGCGCAGCTAGCGGTGTCACGCACTCGCGCCAGAATCTTAATGACTTAAGGACGATTCCCGCAGTCGAGTGTTACGGGTAGGAGGTACTCATTCATGAACCAGTAGCTCGTAAGCAACTCTCCAATAGAGAAAGAAGCGAAAAAAACCTTGGGAACACTCTGAACAGAGACCCCTTAGCAGTGGGCGGCGCCTTGGACGAGTTTGTCGGACGTCGGCAAGCCCAATCAGCAGGATTCGACGTGCAAACGATTCCTCGCAAGAGCACAGGAAATCACCTACGACGCTCCAGGCAACGCTATGTACACGCGCATTCCGCTTGTAAGCCGTTGTCTTGCAGAGTGAAAGTAATCGTGGTTGCAATGGTTGCAATCACGCGTCTCTAGCTTCTTTATCTCGCCGTTTCAAGTGACAAAAGTGGTATATTCTCTGCGAACATACCAACAACGATGCCAGATACACAGAGGCATTTCGCAAATTACTCGATCGCGGAATTGTCCACGAGGATTTACCAAAGTACATCGAGTCAACTAGAGAGAAAATGCTCCTCGGCACTTATCGGAATATTTCTAGTTCGAACAGTCAGTTAGGTCGAACTCCGGACAGACAGAAATCTGGCTCCAACGAGAATTTGAATCTCTGCAGGCAGTATTATATCCGCCTTGCACGAAAACACCTGATGTGCGCGGAGATGGGGAGGCAACCTTCGGGTGCTGCTGAGTTCTGGTCTGCTGAGCCCCGGCAGCAGCTGTGTCACTGCTGCACCCTGGTCGTGCGCCGCTCAGTCACGGAGCACTTAAGCAACGAGAGAAGTAGGACCATATACAGGGGCCCAAAAAAGAGACAACTTTTCTACCTCCGCCTTTCAAGGTGTATATTAAGTTGCTCTAATTCTAATTGACATTTCACCATTTAAATCCAACAGCGAAACCATTGTGCACTATCTCGAAAACCATGCCTTCTGACGAACGTCAATGAGAGAATTCTCCCCAAGCGGCGGTCCGTGAGTTCGTGCCGTGAAGTGTTGGAACAATCGTTGACTGTCTCTCGCACTGAAGCACCACCCTGTGAAGCTCCTAACCGCGAGCACGGTAAAAATCGAATGTAGGAAGTGAGCAGGTAACACTACTTGGATATGTTCCGTCTTTCGCAGGTGACTAAGCCCTCGTTCTCAAAGTAGGCGAGGAAACCTTTGGACCGACCATGTCAATCCACTTCGCATGCACCAAGTTCCGTGTACGTTAGAAGTTTACAAGAAGGTACAGGCTATAATAGAAGGCAAAATCTTTTCTCCTCGAGTTGTCCCGATGAATCCGTCCAGCGTTTCAGATCTCAGTCGGGGCCCACGAAGAAAGAATGTTTCGGTCTTCCCATGCTAGGAACTTCGGCCATACCTCAGCCCGGCACCTTGGTGAACTGTGGTGAAATGATATCCTAGCCGCAGCGACGTTGTCGGGCTGCCTCGATGTTGGACGGTCCATTCAATCAAAGAGTACTCGCTCTCCAAGGTTAAGCCTTATCCATGGACTCACTCCATACTGAAGAAGTTTCGCAAGCTGTTTTGGAGCTTGACCATGAATTTTATTTCTTCTCAGTTATGACTGGCGACTGGAGATGACTTCATAGTTTTGGTGCATAGAACTCGAAATAGAGGGCAAGCGACCACGAGGAGCCCCAAAGAAAAGATGGAGGGACGTCATCAAGAGGGACCTCACTGAAGTGAAAGCCACAGCAGAAGATGCAGTGGATCGGAACAAGTGGCGACGTCCTAACAGAGAATGCAGCGACCCTGCGACGGCGCGGGACTAACGCTGAGGGAGAAGAATGAAAGGTGAGTGAGCGAAGCGCCTCCTGCTTATCGAGGAACATATCCTCGGGCACTTCCGGCCTGGTTACTATTTACCACGTCTCTGTCTGGGCCTGCTGAAACCTTGCTGAAATTGGACTCGTCCCGAAGTGACTTTTTGCCCCCTCCTCTGCATATTGTAGGGACGGGAGGAACATTTTACATAGCAGATGACGACCTACAAAGAGGCTCGAGCAGTCCGCCCAAACAGCCAAACGGCCGCATTAGCGACATCCGGATGCGTGATTTCTCGTATCTCTAATTCGACGAATGCATTAGATGCCGGGTTTGCAATGTTGATACACGCATACAGCAGCCGTATCACCGAAGTGGTCGTGGGGCGCTATCCAACGTGGAAACTACCGAGTCGCTTCTTAAGCCTTCATACACGTCTCCATGTCTCTAAGAACAAGAAGGCCGTTCTTGGCAGATTTTGACCGGTTTCCTCCGCTTTTCCACATTTTCGGCCCCCAATAAGATAGCATCCATAGGTCCGATCTACCATCCACACCCAAGTAAAAAAAAGTTTTATTGCTTCATGCCGATTGCCGCAGTCCTTAACATCATGTGAAATTCGCCGACTTTAAGACATATACGTGGCATAGTAACAAACACAAAGCATCGTTAACGCAATTTTTGTTTGAATGTAGGCGCTGTTGATATAATCGTTGTGGAAAGGCTTTAGTTTCACATTAGATGGAAATTTCAACATTTGTGAAATACCACCTCGGCGTTCACCAAGTGTTTTGCAATAACCTACAATAAGCAATTGATGTTGCCGATACCTCTGTGCCCGCAACAGAAACTTTCACTGTCTTACCAGACTTAGAACTCAACTTTTAGTTCGCTGCGGACGATTTAGCGTGTCCAAGCAGTCAATAGTGTTTAACAGCGTCGAGAGCCGTCGTCCTCCGGCCTTCCTGTCGCATACGCGCATGCGGACAGAAAAGTGGTGAGAAAACGAAGTCAATACAAGATTATGATACCATGATCACGTGCCCTCGCAGCGTAACAACTGTGGACGACCCGAGTATGGCCTGGGCGCCGATTGCGCCATCGCACCTGACGACACGCCCAACCGTCCGCAGCGAACTTCACTATACTCATCAAGCCGATCCCTTCGCTTTTTCCAGCTCTCTTTTTTTCCGCATTTCATTCTAGTCCTCAGAGTTTGGCCCAGACTCTGGAAGCTCTGGCCCTCCTTGGGCATACCCCTCTCAAGGTACCGTTAGTCTCTTGGAGTTGTACCTGTACTGTATGGCGGACTGCTACGGGGTTCGAGTTCAGAAGGCGTGCAACATCCACCCAATACCGCTTTTAAAAACACATATGGTGACCACCTGATTCATAGAATCTCGTCCTTGTACGAGTGGCCAGGTCCACATAAGTTGTCCCGCCAGTGGATGTCCTGTTGCTGGGGAAAATTGTTGCAAATTTTGAAACTGGAAAAAGTCCTGCACCTTTGACAAAGGTTTTGGACCGAGTATTCCTTCACTAAACGATACATCCAATCTACGGGGTAACCATCCCTGACCTCATGCCCGTCTGCACAAGCCTCGGAGAACACTCTCATTTAAAAGCCTCGAATCAGGAGTCAAAGTGCTTTTCGAATTTTTTGGAACAATTTGTTAGAGACACGACTTTTTAATTCTTTTTTTAATGTCTTTTTGCACCTAATACGGCTCCCCTTCCCCGAATCCCTTCCTCTGAGACGACCCCCTCTTCCCATACTACCTAACATCTCACTGCCTTTCCCCGACTTCCTACCACTTCTTCCGAAATTTCCCAACAATCAAAAACTCTAGTTTTCCGCCTAAGGCAGCCTTCATACTTCGCGACAGCAGCGGCTCGCGGCGACCCCGGCACCTCGGCGATCGCCGCAATCGCCGCGATCGTAGGTGCTGTCGCGAAGTATGAACGCTGCCTAAGGCATTGTTCACAGATTGCGACCCAGCGGTTGGGCGAAAAGCGAAAAATAGTCATCGATCGGATAATCGCCAACCGCTTGCTTCGCCGAACCGCCGCGGTTGGGCGGTTGGGCGAAAAGCAATAGATGTGTATCGATTTCGCTGGCGAAAAACGCCACCGCGATGGAGCTAGCGTTTTGTCGAAGGCGAAAAACGTCGCGGTTTGGCGAAACGCCCGTCGATACGTACCAAAACCCTTTCGCCCAACCGCCAGGCTCTTCGCCCAACCGCCAGTCGATATGTATCGAAAGCTTTTCGCCGAACCGCCGCGTTTCAGAGAAACGCTGGACCGCAGAGTGTGAACAATGCCTAAAAACTGCCATCGAGCGGCAGAGGGGTGGAGGGGTGTCTGGAAGTTCATACGTACGAGAAAGGGTTAACTGCTGAAAATCAATGAGATAGTCAGTTGATCGCTGGATACGGCCCCACTCTCGGAGCGACGAGCAAATGCGACCCCTCCAAGATTCCAACATACGACGTGTCCTGTGTCCTGCTCTC